AAGCACAGAGGAATGATGTCTGAAAATATTTGAAATATCCAGAATATATTAACATTACCTATGAGTTTAATATTTCCCCAAGACAAAACAGGAGAAACATATTGACATTCTTTTCCTTTGATAAAATAAGGAAACAAGAGATTTAAAACATCAAACAAAAATACAGAGTGAACATGAAGAATAAACTATTTCTTTCCAGTATGGGATACTTGATGAGAAAACAAAATAAAGAAGACATTTTTATAGGAAAGCACAAAACAAAGAGAGACCACAACTATTACAGAAACCTCTGCTTTGACAAAGCCTAGGGTACTGAGATTTCAAACTCTATCTAGACTTACTGACTCTGAATCTTTCAAGAAATTTTGCCACTGTTGGTTAAAAACAAGGGAAAAACTCACATTCCAAAATGTCACTCTGTAGCCATGGCAATACACTTGATTAAAGTGAAAACAAGAAATGAGTGAATGTCTTTGAGAGATAATAACTTCGTTTCCAGTTGTTATGTTATGTGCCATCGAGTCGTTTCCGACTCATAGCGACCCTATGCACAACAGCTCTAAACCCTGCTCTATCCTGCGCCAACCGCACCGCCTCCGACACACCCATCCCGATTACCCCAGTCACCGAATCAATCCATCTCATAGAGGGTCTTCCCCTCCTGCGCTGTCCCTTCACCCTCCCAAGCATGATGTCCCTCTCCAAGGACCCGTCCCTCCTGGCAACATGTCCAAAGTATGTCAGACGAAGCCCCAGAATCCTTGCCTCCAAGGAGCAGCTTGGTTTAATCCTCTCCAAGATGGATCTGTTTGTTTTCCTGGCAGTCCAGGGTACATTCAGTACCCTTCTCCAGCACCACAGCTCAAAAGCATCCACCCTCCTTCTGTCCTCCCTAGTCATTGTCCAACTCTCTGATGCATAACAAGCGATTGCAAATACCATGGCCTGTATCAGGCGCACCTTAGTCTCCAGAGAGACACTGTTGCTCCTGAGTACCTTAGAGAGGTCCCTAATAGCAGACTTTCCCATCGCGATACGCTTTTTGATTTCCTGACTGCTGGTGCCAAGAGTGTTGACTGTGGAGCCGAGCAAACTGAAGGTGTGAACACTCTCAATCTCTTCGTCATCCATCCTGACCCTGCTAGTTGGTCCAGTGGTGAGAATCTTTGTCTTCTTGACGTTGAGCCTTAGTCCATACTGAAGGCTGCAGTCCTTGACCCTTCGCAGCAAGTGCATGAGGTCCTCCTCAGTTTCAGCAAGCAAGGTTGTGTCATCTGCAAAAATATGGTGGTCTATGACATGAAACAAACAGATTCATTTTGGAGAAGATTAAACCAAGCTACTCCTTGGAGGCAAGGATTCTGGGGCTTCATCTGACATACTTTGGACATGTTGCCAGGAGAGGGACATCATGTTTGGGAGGGTGGAGGGACGGCGCAGGAGGGGAAGACCCTCTATGAGATGGATTGATTCGGTGACTGGGGTAATCGGGATGGGTGTGTCAGAGACAGTGTGGTTGGCGTAGGATAGAGCAGGATTTAGGGCTGTTGTGCATAGGGTCGCTATGAGTTGCAAACGACTCGACGGCACATAACAACAACAACATGACATGAAAACACAGCTCTAGATAAAGAAATATAGAGCAACCAGATCCTGTATTATATTCTATTTACATTACTGCCCCCAAATAAATGAGTACTTCCCATGGAAAAACTAATCAAAAGCATAGAAACATCTGGCACAGTAGTTAGATTTCCAAAATTTGGTCTGTCTGAATGAAATATAACTATCCCTTACCCGACAGAATAATTCTGAGTTCAGAAATTCTGACCAAAACAAATCCTTTTTTTATTATCAACATCCTTTCTATGGTCAGGAATTTGTTATCCATAGGGGCCAAAAAGCCCTAATTTGAAAAGTCAGTCATTAAAAAGAAAGGAAAAAAAAATTCCATTGTTGTCAATTCCAACTTGTAGTGATTCCTACAGGTAGAACAGAACTGTCCCTGTAAGGTTTTCAAGATAATAGATCTTTACCAAAGCAGAGAAAGCCTCATCTTTCTTCCAAGCTGAAGCCAGCAGGTCCCAACTGCAAAATGTTCAGTTAGCAATCCAACACTTAATCCACTGTGCCAGCAGGACGCCTTGGCGTCACATCTATTATTAATTCATGTTGTAAGAATTTCTCAAATGACTAATGTTGGCTTAATTCTCACATCTGAAGTTCTTGGAACTTTGTCCATCCATTTTTATTTTTTTTTCTGCTCAAGTTTTTAGGTTATCTAACAGATTATAGGGAGCTCTGGTGGCCTAGTGGTTGAGGAGTTACACCACCACCACTAAGGCATGCAGTTCAAATCTGCCAGGGGATCTGAGGGAGGAAGGTGGGCAAGCTCCTCCTGTGGGATTTATGGCTTCTAAAACCTGATGGAGAGTCACCTTTAACTTCCTTCTAACTCAATGGTACCACAAAACAACAACAACAGAAATCATAATAATAGACTTACAAGAATAGTTAGTTTCAGTGGTCTACTGGCAAGGAGTTACACTGTCAACCTAAAGGCACACAGTTTTATTATACCAGATATTCTACAAAATAAAAGTGGGCAATCCCCTCCCATGAGATTTACAACCTAAAAATCCACGGAGGGGTCAGCTATCAGTCATTTCAGACCAGATAGCAATGAGTTAAGAGTCAATGGCCTTTACAGATCTCTGGTAGTAGTGTTGCTGTTACTTGTCAACAAGTTGAGCACAACCCTGTGGACAGTCACCCTGAACTCTTTTCTAACCTGTGCCATCCTTTACATCTGATCATCTCTTAGGAGGTCTTCCTTTCCTTTGCTGTCCTTCCATCTTTCCAAATATGATGTCTCTTTTTAAAGTATAGCCTCGGCTAGCTACATGCACAAAGGTCTAAGAGGAAGTGTTGCCATCTTTGCTTCCATGGAGCACTCTGGCTGCACTTTATTGAAGACACACGTTTCTTCTTTAGGTGATCCATTGGATATTTAGTACTCTTCTCCAACACAAATCAAAGGCATCAATTCTTTTTCTGTCATCTTTATTCACTGTTGAGATCTTGATGCATAGTAGATGACTGAGGAGATCATGGTCTGAATTAGGCATATTTAGTCTCCAAACTGACATCACTGTTCTTCAATATTTTGGAGAGGTCCCTGACATTGGACTAGCACAGTGTAATATGTCTCCTGATTTTCTGACTGCTGTTATGAAGGGTGTTAACTTCTGGTCCAAACAAGCTGAAATTATTGACAGCTACAATCCTTTCTCTATCTATCATAATGTTGACTGTTTGTCCTGTTTTCTTGATCTTAGGATGTAATCCACAACAAAGTCTGTAGTCCTTTATAGTCTAGAGCTAGCATTTCATATCCTCTTCACTTTCAGCAAGCAAAGTGTGTCATCGGTGAGCACTAAGGAGGCCACCCAGGCCCTGACAGGATCCAAAGACCCAGAGGGAGGTTTGTAGGCATCAGTGCAGGCAGCCGGTGCCAAAAGCCAACACTAAAGATCCAGCTGTCTCTGCCAATACCTCCATCCAGGACCCCATCTATTGCACTGCCATGGGCCTCAGGTGTGATCTGAATGGGGTGTCCTGTGGGATAATATTTCTATATTTGATAGTCTTTGTGGTTTGCTTTTAGAGATACAGCAACTATCCATCATTTTGGATATAAGGGAATGATCTGCGTGTTGCCAATCACTTTATATCTTTGCTGTGTATGTTGTTGTGTACTATTGAGTTGCAACTGACCAATAATTGATCCTCAAGTGATTTTTCAGAAGCAGTTAATCACATTGGAGGGGACCTGCCTATCTTTCTCCTGAGAAGCAGTTGGTGGATTTGAACAGTGTGCCTCTGGATTGCAATGCAGCTTCTTACCACTAGGCCATCAGTGCTCCCAAATGTATAGGGTCGGGTCTTAATTATTTGCTCTCGTGAGTACAGCACTTATTTGTCAATCTGCTTTATTGGTATAGCTTATGGGGTGGTCTAGTGAAGGAACCTGTACCACCAGTGGATCAGGAACCAGAAGAGTCACCCATGGTAGAGCCATTGCAACAGAGTTCCTAGATTAAGACAGACTAGGAAAAAGGATTGGTCATGAACTTCGGAAACAACAGACCTTCAAAAACCTCATGAACCTCTGGTGGTGCATCCTACCATAATTCAAGCCGCTAACCTAAGTGCTATATGTGTCCTGCCATTCAGTCCTCCAGCAGCTCCTTCCAATTAAGATGTACATTCTCCTCTGGTTACAATTTATAATGCTGAAAACCTGGTAGTGGGTCACGATTTCATGGAACTAATTGGACAGTAGTGAATTTAAGTTTAAAAGATCTTAATTACATTGTCAATAGAGCATGAAAAAAAAATGTGTTACTAGTCTGGTCTAAACATTAAGGGTACATTTTTGTAAACATATATCCTTTAGCTTGTCAATATGGTAAGATGAAACAACCGTTAAGTTTAAATTCCCTTATAATTTCTGCCAGCCAGGCCAACACTGCATGCCAACTAATACTTTTGGAATTAGAAGACCAAACAAAAAATCCCAGAAGATATAAACATAAACAGTAAAATATATAGAAGAAATTCCTTCACACTGAAAATATTGTAATTGGAGATATTTTACAGTAATGCATTTAGAATATAATTACTTAAAAGAATTCATCAACCATGACACAAATTATATCAGAATAAACAAATATGCTAACAAACAAAAATTAAAGAATTAAAAATCTGCTGAAAAAGGATAACTTAACATTAAAAAATGTGAGATTTCGGTTAGTTTTGATTGAGAGGTTTGTTTTTTTTTAAATTGAGCAAAAAACCCCAGGCAGGTAAGAAAATAATTTGAGATTCTTGACTATAAACTGCCCTTTCCTTGACACTTGAGAAAGGAAAATACAGAGTGGGAGAAAAAGGCTGAAGTTAAAATAGGAGTAGATAGAAATGATCAAACCATTACTTACTTCTTTGTATCCAAAGATGATGCGTCCATCAGTGAGGAGGGTTGCCTGGAAGGTGAAGCTGCCCAGGTTGTAATTATCCTGGAGGTGAACATGGTCCCACTGTACAACAAGGGCTGTTCCTACAACAAATAAAAGCCATGAGGAAAGGAAGAAACATGGAGTGGAAAAAACAAAACAAAACAACTAACCAACCAATTTTGGTGAGAGTTGCATAAAAACAGCGCAGGCCTTTAAATTGAGAACTTGTGCTCTTCATATATTATGTTGCTAATGTCTTTAGACAAGGAACAGTGCAGGAGAGGAAGAAGACTCTGGATGAGATGGACTGACACAGTGTCTATGGCAATGGAGTCAGGTGTGTCAGACATGGTGAGGTTGGCTCAGGATAAGGCAAGGTGCATAAGTCCACTATGAGTTAGAGCTGACAATAAGAATTATTTAAATTAAAAGTCTTGTACATTAGGTGTTCTGTGGGTTTTCCCCCTTTTCTTCTTTTTAAAAAGAATTGAGTTTTCTCTAAATATTTGGGAAAAAAATCTAACCTTACACAAAGTTTAATTATAAGCCCATTGTGTGTTGCCTTGTTGTCGTTGTATACCACAGAGTAGGAATCAACCCATAGCTGATCTTCTAGCAGGTTTTCAGAGGTAGTTAATTGCATGGAAGGAGATTGTCCCTCCTTCTCCTGAGGAGCAGCTGGTGGCCTTGAACCATTTGCCTTTGGGATTACAGCAGAGCTTCTTGCCACTAGACTATCAGAGCTCACTAATGCAAATGGATACTTCCTGCTTAAATTTCTATGACTGCTTTAAAAACTCAGCTTAAGTGGATAGAATGAGCTTCAAACATGATTGGCAAGTGCAGAGACAGAAAGGAGCACATTCAAAAAACTCAAACCACTTTTGAAAGACTTGAAAATGTCATTTCTATACTGAAAATGACTCTTTTCCACAATAAAGAATTTCCCTTAGCACTAATAGAACTTTATTCTTTGATTCACAATGCCTGCATTCCTGTCTTTGTTGTATTGCTTCAAGGAGGCTGCAAGGCAGCTTAATGGGCCCTGGCTAAGATCTCTGAAGTCCCCTTGAAGCACACTGGGATAACTCTTTAGCACTGTATCATTTCTGATAACTCAATCTACCCATGTTAATAGAGTAGTGTTAATCAGAAACTGGTGGTGAAAATACAGTAAAAGCCACTGGTGAAAGTCATAACTTTGTTTCAACTAATATTATGCATTTTTATTTTAAGAAACAAATAAGAATTTAGGGTTGTTTTTTTTAATAGGTTTAGAAAATGATTTCTCAGAACTAAAAGAGTAAAACTGATCTCTAGGCTTTGGAACTTATTAAGGTTGGGGAAAATAAAGATCATATAATAGAAATAATCTTAAGCAATAATTTTGTAGTAATAGAATATCCTTGTGCTAGCAGATGGCTATTAAATAGATACAATATCTGAAATAAACGTTTAATGACAAATCGTAAGTCTTTGTTGCTGTGCCATTTACATAAATAGAGACACTAACAGAGAGAATTCAACTGTCCCATTGGGTTTCCTAGGCTGTAATCTTCATGAGAAGGCGCTGTGGTGGTATAGTGTAGAATGTATTGGGCTACTGGTGGCCAATGGTAAGCACCTTCACTACTAAGCCAATGGAATGCTGTTCAAGTCAACAGTTGCTCTGGGGGAGAGAGATGGGCAGCCCCTTTCTGTGCAATAAACAGCCTCTGAAATCCTGGTTGAGGGTTTAGCTATGAGGTTCTGACTCTATGGCACATAACAAAAACAACAACTATTAACATAAAGGTCAGGTATTCTATTCCATTAGCCACTCCAAGAGAGAGTGCTGCTATGAGCCAGAGCTTGCTCAACGGTAACTGGCTCTTCTAGCAATCTTAAAGGGAGCCGATCTCTAGGGTTTATCTCCACATATACTAGTGGATTCAAATTATTAATTATTTTAGTTAGCACAAGGATCCTCAAGTGGTGTTGAAATTAAAAAAAGGATTAATATTTTATAGGTAAAGGTGTTTGCTCTTGAATTTTATCTTAGTACATTTTTCCCCAGTGTAACCATCCCCGGGAGGCTTCTTAAAATGCACCTATGTCTCAAAGTCTGCCTCCTGGGAAAACTAGTGGGGACATTCATTAAGCATTATTTTAACTCATCAGTTTCTTTTTAACACTTTTCCCATTTGCCTTCTAGTAGATAACCTAGTATAGTGTCAAGGTGGGACACTCAGGACATGAATACACCAAAGGGTGAAGGTGAACATGAGGGAGGCTTATAGTATTTTTTGTTTGTTTGTTTTATTAGAATAATTATGTTTTAGATGAAAGCTTATATAACATATTGGGTTTTATTTAACAATTTTCATACAAATTGTTCTATGACAGTAGTTATTACAATGTGTCAGCATCCTCACTTTTCAGTCAATCTAGTTCTCCTACCCCTCCATAATCATAATCTGTTCAGCTAAGATTAATTGCAGACTAGCTATAAGAAGTACAGAGTCAACATTTTCCCAAATGTCTGATTTACTCTATGATTTCTGACATCAGCAGTCTTTCCTTTGTTTAGTTCCCTTGATCCTCTGTGTACCTTAGGTTTGGGGGTTTGCGGGAAGGTTTCCCAGAGACTCAGACCTGTCAAGGGAATGTCTCATGTGACTGTGTGTATGCAGGCTAGTTTTACAGAGACTGTGATAGTTGTAGACTGTTAACTGCAGTGTAACTGGAAAGAAGATGTCCCAAATAGAGAACTAGCATTTAGGTTTCATGGGCATATATGAGCCTCTAGTAAAGCTTATTATTATTGGTGAGCCCTGATTAAAACAAGCTTGGAAGGAGGAGTGGCATTCACAACAAGCTTGGAAGGAGGAGTGGCATTCACTTCCATAACAGTTTGCCTCCGGAAACCCTATGAACCTGGAGAGAGGATGAGAGACACCCATGCATTGAGGACTCTCCTTCATAGGGTCGCCATGAGTCGCCTGCGACTCGACGGCACTTAACAACAACAACTTTTAGTCATAGTGAACACCGAACACATACTCTTGTTATGTATGGGTGAAGAAGAATCAGTTTGTTTGCTTCTACAAGCTTCACCTTACATGTACTGTGCTTAGTTTTGCTTATTTTTAACTGGAAATGATTACAGTACAAAATAGCCAGGGAACTTGCAATGGCGTAGCAGAATGGGTGTTGTGGGTGTTGTTTTTTTTTTTTTTTTAGCATTAAATCCTTCTTAAAATCTTTGTACTTTAAATAGCTCACAAACGTCAAGCTGAGGCTCTTCTCTATTTACAACTTTCCTTGACAGATACTGATCTAGGGTGAGGATGGTCTAGGCTTGTCCTGGTTCTGATGTATGCTGTGTGGTCTTGGCCACAGTTAACCTCCATGAATCTATTCCTCATCTATAAAGTGAAAGTATGAATCCTTCAAGAGATTTCTGAATTTAATACAAAAAAATACTAACACAGCAAATTATTGATATATTTAGTATGGATACAAGGCAATAAAAATATACAATTCTTCACAAAAAAGACATATAAGTGAATGAGATAATTAAGGTTGGTTTTTAAAAATATTATACAAGCCATGCTGAAGGTACTATTATTGCAAGTTATATTAAATTTGCAAACAAAGATTTATCTTCACTAGAAATATAGTTCCTCCAGGGTAGGTTATGTATGTGTGTATGTACGTATGTATGTATGTATTTACTTAGTCAACAGCTCTATTTACAGCCTCCAAAAGATGCTGGAAGAGCAATCATAAGTTGGTTCAGAATCAAAGGCAATCAAGCAGTACCAAGAAGTCCTGGCATGGTGCATAACAGCTATCGGCTTATGAACTGTTTGAATCCACCAGCAGCTCCTTGGGAAAAAGACCAGCTGTCTACCTCCAGTAAAGATACAGATTTAGAGCTAAAGATTTCAGCCTCAGGAACTCTTTGGAAGTTCACTATGAGTTTGAACTAACTCAATGGCAGTGGGTTTGGCAGGTTTTAGATGTACCAGAAAGCCCCTGGTGCAGTAGTAAAAAGTTGGTGTGGTCAGCTGCTAAACAAATGATTACAATTTTGAGACTAGAGATTGGGAGATTCTAAGAGGAGTGTTTAAAGAAAAGACTGGCAGCCTACTTCAGAAACATCGATCATTGAAAACCCTATGAAGGGCAATCTTCTTCTGAAATACACAGGGTCATCAAGTGTTAGAATACACTCAATGGAAACATATAAAACCAGGAAACATGTAGCAGTCTCAAAAATAGCTAAATATCACATTTTAAAAAAATAAATATTTGAAGCTATAATAGTTATTGTAGCTAATGTTAGATGGATCTTAGCTGAAAGCAGGGAATACCAGAGGAATAACTATCTATGTTTCATTGATTATGGAAAGGTGTTCGACTGTGTGGGTCATAACAAACTGTGGCTGACTCTGAGAAGAATAGGAATCCCAGAACACTTGATTGTGCTAATGAGAAACCTATACTTGGACCAAGAGGCAATCATCAGAACAGAGTAAGGAAATACTGCACGGTTCAAAATTAGAAAGGTGTACACCAGGGATGTGTCCTATCTCCATATCTTTTCAACTATATGCAGAACAGATTATCCGGCTATGAGTAGAAGCGTGGCATCAGGACTGGTTGAAGACCCATCAACATCTGAGTTATGCAGATGACATGACCCTGCTTGCTGAAACTGAGGAGGACCTGAAGCGATTGCTCCAGAGGGTCAAGGACTGTAGCCTCCAATATGGATTGAGGCTCAATGTCAAGAAGACAAAGATTCTCACCACTGGACCAATTGGCAGTATTATGATAGATGATGAAGAGATTGAGATAGTTAACAGCTTCAGTTTGCTTGACTCCACAATCAACACTCTTGGTACCAGCAACCAGGAAATCAAGGGAGGAATTGCATTGGGAAAGTTGGCTGTCAGGCACCTCTGCAGAGTACTGAAGAGCAACAACATCA